TTCCTTTTTATTGACTTTGAGAAGGCATACGACCATGTGGGTTGGCATTTCTTGGATAAATGCCTGAAAAAAATGAACTTTGGAAGTGCTTTTAGGTGGTGGGTGAGGATACTTCATCAAAACGCTACTACTCAGGTGCAGATTAATGGGAACCTGGTTCCAGACTTCCCTCTGCAGCGATCGGTCCGCCAAGGTAACCCGATTGCACCATATCTTTTTGTGGTAGTGATGAAAGCCCTAGCGGCCAATCTTAGAGCCAACCAGAATAGAAGCAGGATTCAAACGGTCTCTATCCCACGAGAGGCAATTGCAAGTATGCTCATTATTTGTAGATGACCTCACTTTGATGGTAGAAGCCTCAACACAAAACATGGAGGAAATTGACAGATTGATGACCCGGTTTTGCGCACTTTCGGATATGGCAATTAACTGAGGCAACAAGACATTGGGATGGTGGATGCACGACGACGGTGGAAGACCCCCAGAGCGGCCCAATGTGACATGGCTTCCCTTGGAAACCCCCATCAGAGTCCTAGGAATTCCACTTTCGGTTGAAGGAAAGCCTGCTAGTAACGATAATTGGATAATGGGCCCGGCCCTACAAAAGTTGGGTACTTGGAAAGACAAACATACGTCACTATTGGGTAGGGCCCTGAGAATAAACAACGTGGTCTTGGCGTCAATTTGGTATAAGTTGGCAGTCTAGCCTCTATCCAGAGCGGCATCAAAGGCCCTGAAGCAACAAGTGGCAGCCTTTTTATGGAGACACAACCACGAAGCCCAACATACAAAACGGTCGCTCTCTCGCTTCAATGGTTGAAACTACTTATCTACACCCCTGGCCTTACCTGGGAGCCCCTAGCCTGGGAACAACTGTCAAGGTTAGATCCAGTGGCTGCACCCACAACACACCCTATCGTTTGGCTAGATGATGTATTTTGGACAATTCCCAGGCCCCCCACCTGGCCCCGACCACACTTAGATCGCACCGCAGCCGGCAGGGACCTGCGAAAAGACGGTTTTTTGGCCAATCTAATCAAGGATTGGCGGAGGCTCCCGCTCCCGGATAGGTTATTTCCTGAAAGGTGGGAGGAAGTCGCCCGCCGACCGCTTTTCGAAAACCGTTGGATAACGGACCGGCATGGGCGCGTGTTGCTCAACTCATGTCATCCGTGGAATGGATGGGTGAAGAATGGGGTCACAAGAGTTGGACACTTGTGGGACCAAGCAGGGAATGATTGGCGCTCAGAGGAGCAGCTGAGAGAGAAGCTCCCCCACTGCCAAAGAATAGGGGAGTGGTTGGATTAGATACAATTTGCCCTCCCCCTCGCATGGGTGCGGACTCTTCGACGGGGGCCAACAGTGGAGGAAGGGGACTGGGTGGTGTTAAAAGGGGATGCAACTCGAGTAGGGGAAGTACTTTGGGTCAGACCGGGGGAGGTGCTGGTGAACCTGTTTTATCGAACACATCTAAACCACTTGATCAGGGTGTGCCGGATGAAGTTTTTTGGATTAATGTCAAGACAGTTCACAGGGTGAGAGGCTTACCTGAAAAAGAATTTTAGGTGGCATTTAGGCCGGAAGTGTCAATCCAAGATCTCCCCATGGATGTTGCAGAATGAAGATGGAAGGTTCCAACAAGGAACGGAAGACCCAAATACCAGTACCTCCATACACTAGGAGTTAAAGCGACCTATCGGACGCTCAGGATTAAACTAAATTTGAAGGATCGTATAGTTGATCACTAGGCACGACACCTAAGCATCCCATTTGAAGTCCTGAGACCGACAAAATGGTTTAAAGAGGTGAAGGACAAACCGGCCAAGTTTGCATCACTCCAATGGCAGATTTCCCACCGTTGTTTACCAATGAATGCATGGCTTATAGACCATACCCACCTGGAGCAGAAAGAGTTGGCTCTCCCCTGGTGTCTTGCGTATGTGGAAGGTTTCCCCTCTCGAAGGAACAACGAGACAATTGAGCACCTTATTCTGCAGTGCCCAACTTCTATCCTTACGTGGCGTGGATGGGCCCCGGTTTGGAACCAACTATACGCGGACAAAAATTGGTCGTGGGAATGGAGGGTCTTGCTAACTGGTCATTGGTCGGCCCAGACCTCGACCTGCAAAGCCAATTTATTTAGGATTGGGAGGGAAACAGTGTTATGGGCTATATGGCGACGCAGATGCATTTAAGCACTTGAAGGTGCCCACGTGGGAAATGGGGAAATAACAGAAATAATTGAAGACATGATTGAAACCGCAATCGGAGCCCAGTGGAAAACGAAGGTACAAGGGATGAAAACTCTCACCAAAAGATCAGATATTATTTAGAAACTACATGACTTTTGCATGGACTGGTTGGGGGGGGAATGGAGAGGATGGATTGCATGGATACAATGGGACGACTGGCATTTGGATGAAAATGATCGGCTGGAAACATCACAAAAGGACTATCGTTTGCTCTTCCATCAATGGACTGAAATCCTAGTGACATACCGCTTCCCCCCGCCCCCAGAGTTCCCTGACCTGTTCCCACCACCAAATAATACCTTAGTTGAGCTGAGCTGGTATGGCCGAGACACTATGGAACCCGCCCGTCACAATCCTGGTGGGACCAGTCAGGATGGAGAAAGGGAATAGGGGGCTCAGGTCGTCTGCCTCAGTTGCCCCCTGGATGCGGAACATGCCCCCTCATCCCCCTCCTCACTTGGCCGATCCTCCTAAGACTGGTTGAGAGGTTATCCATGGTGTTACTCACCTAGTGGGCAGTTATAGACTTTCCTGAAAAGACAATTTGTGTTTCTATGCTAGGAACTTCAGCAACCTGCTTAGTTAATCCTCTAGTATCCAAAGCAATTAATGTTGGCAGGTCTTTTTCATATACTTTCTTAATCCTTCTGCCAAGTTCTTTGTTTCCTGATTCATTTTGTACAAGGGACGCTGATACCGTTTTCCAGCAGGTGATGCTCCCCACCAATAGACGGAGTCTCTCCCCAGGTGATAGCGGTGTCTGCTCTTACCAGCACCGCTAGCGCCAGAGGGAGTGTTTAAAAAAAAAAAAAAAAAAAAAAAAAAAAAAAAAATCAGAGTCTCGAAATGTCATAACAGCCCCAGAACCATGGTGCGCTGCTCAGGAAGGAGCAGCGCTTCACTCTCAACCCTGAGTAACCGCTATACTACCCCCGAGTCCCTGGAACAACCAGCGCCACTCAGATACTGCCTTCAGAGGGAAGCACCACCCTGAAACAAGTCTCTGAGGCCAAGCGCCTCTCAGAGGATGAAGAAGAAGACCAACACCACAGTATCTGATGATGATAAAGTGCCAGCCAAAAGACTTCCCGGGTGGAAGTCTGCAGCAGCGCCACCTCTCCTGACAAGGATGAGCTCTGAGGAAGATAGTTGCAGCAATGGCTGCAGCGCCACACACCCTGATACCTTATTCCTAAGGAGGGTTCGGCAAGGCACCAACTTCTCCTGCCTCCAGCAGACTCCAGATAGCCCAGACCTCTGAACAGCCCCGCGTGTTGTTAGAGAACAGCGCAGGTCCCAACTATGGCTGACGCTTCGCAAGTCTGGCTATGTCTGTCTTCTCTAACGTTGAAGCTGTCAGCACTCCGGTTTAAGTGTTGCACAACGGCGACGTACACGGTACCAACTGCCAAAAGCCCCGATCCGTTTCCCTAAACCTATTCATACTCTACCCTAGCCTAGACACAACCTAGACCGGACTGGTAGGACTGACCGGTACTGTTTCAGTTTCGGCCTCTAGGGCCTCTCCCTACCCGGCTATAGGCTATAGGACCGTCTATCAGCATAGGCCCTTAGGGCCTGTCTGTCCTAGGGGTAGCTTGGGCCTGCTATTCGCAGTTAGGGTAGCTGTAGGGAATTCGGTTAGTGCCGGCCTATAATTTTTATGAATTTGCAGATATGTCCCTCACAAATTTCCTCACAGTCAGCTGTCGCGGTTAGCCCTCAGCCAAACAAAATTACGAATCTGACCTACCTATGGTACAGCCTCGACTCGATGGGCTACAGGCTACCAAAACCAGCAAGTCATTGCAGACCTACTCTCCCTCGGACCGAGGACCTCCGAGCTAGGGACGTAGCCGTGCAGAGCGTCGAAGGGGTTCACCCTTCTAAGCTGCCTCATATTTGAGGACAACAGACTTAGCGGTCTTAAGAAGTTCCTTGAGAGTAAACCAGCGGTCTTCAGTGTGCGGCTTGTAGGAAAACTTCACAAGGTATTGTTTATCCGGACTTGTGCCTATTAATCATTCTGCGATCTCAGGAGGACATTCTGCGATGTCAGGAGGACATTCTGCGAAATCACACCTATTAATCATTCAGGGGTATCCAACGAAATGCTGCATCGTCCAGGGGGGTATGTGAGCTCCCACTTTTTTTTTTTGCAAATGATTTCTTCTGTAAATTTTACATCACTTGATAAAAATAATCCTATTTAAAATTTTTAACCTAGGCTACCAGAGTGGCCTGGGGTCACTTGCCCGGCCGGGCCAAAAAAAATAAAAA